CGGCAGATGTTACTCGGGTAGCATGCGTCGCCACCTCATAATGACACTCAGTGGTTTTGAGGGTCACTATGAGGTGACACGTGACAATGCCTAGTGTGACATTCACTTCCCCCACTTCAAACGGAAATCCTGTGTCATTCGTCATTTCTTAGCATTAATTAGTGTATACTTTCCCTTGCAAGACCCTTGCTCAATATTATGCAAAAGCCAAACTAGAGACAAGATAATAATAATGTCAAGTGACTACATTAAACTATATTATTACAGGTGGATGTCACTGGAATCTGGTGTTGCTCTAGCCAATTTCATGGGTACTTTCAGCTCCATGGATGAATTTGTTGGAAGAAAGAAACAAACATAGAAATCTTGCGTGTTGTGTGAAAAGCATGGATCAAACTTCTGCTGCAAAAATTCAACGATTTGATTATGAATTTCTTTTTTTAATAATGTGTATAGCACATTATTAGGCATGGAAATACTCCTAAAATACTTTTGAATTTGTTGAATCGACATGATGTTTTGACATCACCACAACACTAGAACCTTTGTATGTCATGTTTTTACATTCAATTTCACGCACAAGGTAGGATCTCGCAGTGAACGGAAAATTGTCTATTAGGGATGACTATTGTGTGTCTTGACTCTCAACTGTCTTGACTTTAACTGTGTCATTAAATAAAAAGACAAACAATTTGTTATTGTGTCAAGTGATTTATTTACTATAGAGCGCCATTATTTCACACAAGTCTAAAAGTGATAAACTTCTACATGATTGAAAGAAAGATGCGCTACCCATTGCTATAAAACCAGCAGGGGTAAAACTGTTACAAAATGAATCTTAATGATTCATCAACAAAGTTGTCTCTAATGTCTTCATCACCAGACATTCTCGCCCAAATTTGTTTGCACTTTTTCTTATATTCATCAATATTTCTGGAAATGAACCCGAATTTTGGAGCCAACAGACTAAATTTGAGTCAATTGTCGGTTTTTACCAAAAAAAATTCGGTTATTTTTGTCTCAATCTTTTGAAAGGGAAAGTGCAGACTATAATTGTGAATTTATGATGAAAAGAGGCAACTGCTGGTGAAAATGTTAAATCAAGGGAGTCGTCACCTGCGCATGCGTCAGATGGACATAGCGTGTCGATGTTTACACACAAGCATCTACCCATGAGTCTTTGCGTTTTAGCATGTTTTGTTATTGTTGCTTGGGACTGAATTCCCATGTTTGACTTAAAATACTTTCCAGATTAACCTGAAATCTTTTGATGTATAAAAAGGCGTAGTATTGATATCTTTCAATGAATGAATTTTATTTCACCAAAAAGAAATGTACAAGAGAATCAAGGCATTTAAAGGAAAAAATAAATACATGTTTTATTGGTTAGAACCAGAAAGGTAGTTCAAGCGGAAGTAATCTAGTTCCTGACTCCTGACCCCCTGACCCCCTGACCCCCTGAACTGTACTTGATTATTATAGAAAGTGTTGTGAACAGTCATACACAAAACAAGAATACAAATTTATTATAAAGGGGCTCATCGATTAACCTGTAAATATCTTCCGATGTACAGAGGGTGGGGGCCAATCTCCCCAGGCAGAGTTCTATCACGAATATATCTCTGCCACCACGTGATCTTATGCTTGTCGTTGATTGGTCGATGCGTCACAGCGGTACTACTTTCAAAGACGCGCACCAAAACATTGCAATGCAGGTGTTCGATTTTCGAACCTAACGAAAGTGTGCGCGTTGTTTGTAGATTCTGACTGTTTTCATAGTGAGAAGCTCATAATTTTACTTTCCTTGGCACAAACAGAGTGGCAATAGAACATGATCGCTGTCAATACCACGAAGTGCTTTCCTTTCTTCCTATGTCTTCGCCTAGCGATAGACAGGGCCGTCAGCTTGATGAACCGAGTAACACCTTAGTTACCGTTATTCCGCGATGAGATTATTTTCTTTTGTAAATTATAACTATTTCACCGTTTTCAGTGTGTTTATGAAAAAATCATTATCAGCTATCGACGAAATATTTTAAAACTTGTTTTCCAGTAGGAATAAATCAATACGAAAGCCATCCAATAACAAAACTACGCAAATAATACGCGTAGTAAAAGTCTTGTGGTGTTTCACCACAAAATGGCGGTGTGTGGTGGCAGAGATACTTTCGGTGATCTAACCGCAAGGAACTCTGGGAAGGAGAATGGGTGGGGGCATGATCACAGAACAAAATGAAAGACAACGAGGTAAAATATGCCAGATAAAATTTCTAAGATTTGAATGAGTTCAATATGCCTCTGTTCAGTATGGGATTGAATTTCATTGGTTGATCAATTTGTTTCTATAGGGGACTTTTATGAACAGTTTATATGCATATTTGTTACTCTCTAGTTATCGTGATTTTACTACAATTTAATAAAACCAATGAGCTGCTTATTCTGACTCGTTAATTATTCTCAAACATTGACTGATAATAACTTTATTTTCCATCAGTATACATTTGTATACCAAGAAAAAAAAATGAAATAAAATTTGCACAAACTTTAATTGTGTTCAGTTCAACAACGACGATTTTGAAGACTGAGAATGTGGACAAAAACAAAATGTACACAGTAAACTAACATAATTATTCACTAATTTAGAAGCTATGCTCACAGGAAATCTAGCAACATTAATGCTTTGAGCATAGTTTTATGTAATTTTCTATAATTCGTTTGACTTTTTGACAAAATGAACAATTTTCCTCATTTGATACATGTATGCTGTATTGACGCATGAAGCCGGAAACAGCCACAGAGGGCACTGTACATTTAACAAATTTTTAGTGACTCGCAATGGTAACTTATAGTACTGTAGAATACTTTATTTTCGCTTGGAATTAATTTTCGCTATTTTCACTGAAGAATGATTCAGTGAAAATAAAATCCAGCGAATATATCTTTTTTCCTATATTTTACATTCAACTTGTCAAAAATAAGTGAAAATAAATTCTATACAAAGTACCAAAAATGTATTTTCAGTGAAGATTAATTCCAGCTAAAATAAAGTATTTTACAGTATAAGGAACAGGACGTGTTGAATTTGGTGACAAGTCTAGTATGGTAGCAATCTCGTACAGTCTTCAAATAACCACAATAAAAAGAGTAAAGGTCAAGGCCAAAAATGTAATTGCGGCATTTAATAATAAATGCTTTCTATTAATAACTACACTTTAAAATAATATTCATGAGATATGTCTACATCATAACCTAATTAATTTTATTGTGTACACAGTGTGTATGCTTCAGGTTGTTCTTATGTATTCCACAATGCATGTGCGGTATAGTTGGTATGGCGTGTTTCTGGATCTGGGGAGGGTAAAGCCACTGTAAACTATGAGCCACTTTCCCCCAGTGCTGTTGACATTGACAAATCTTGCCTAAGTAGTATACGTTTATTGACACAACACTAACTTCAGAAAGTACAGCAGTAAGGTCACTAAAAAACTACAATGATAAAACGAAACTTACAAAATTACAAAACTAAAGAAAAAAAAATATAATACATGTTCACTTATTAAAATTACTGATAAAAAAAAAAAAACTATAAATATTAAAGGCAAGTACACAAAAGTATAGGTGTAAAAAAAAACTAATGGTAATAATAAAATCTCAAATAAGTGCATTGTACATAGAAATGAGTACTAATACATTGTACAGTTGTCGATAAGAAAAAAGAATGAATATTTAATTATTCACTGAGGAGGCATTGTTGTCTCATTTCAAATGCATTTTTCAGAAATTTCGAAAGGGGAATGGACATGTGTTTCTTACTCATCACAAATTTGTATATGGATATATCTACATCTACATCTCTTCCACTTGGTGAGAGGAATCTTTGAACTTAAAGCGTGGTGGTCGTCGCACAGTGCGTGTTCGAATTTCATGTAAATAAATAATGTATTTTACACGAGTTGTATACATCGCGTCCCATATTGAACAGGACACGGCGCGACGACTGCCGCCCTTTAATGTTTAATGGATCCACTCACCTTCAAAGTCTGGCATTACCACCCAGTTTTTCATAACTCCCTTCATATTTACATTGTCTCCTTAACACCGAGGCACAAACTTTCCTTTCCTTTAAAACAATCAACATGTATTAAAATAATCTGTGTTTACTTCAGAGACCTTCACAAATTTCTAGTTATGGTTCCAATAACTCTGAATCAAATGTTTTGAAAAAAATATTGGAAAAATTAAGCAAGTTTATTATGAAAGGTGTTGAAATACAGACACATCGTAGCGTGTTCTATTTCATAACTGACACGTTTTAAACAGAGGACATAATAGTCCAAAGGCTACATTGGTTTAACATTACTCAATTTTACACAAACAATAGAGAAAATGCTCAACATACAGACTTTTAAATAATACAATTAAATGTGCACCTTATTTAAACATTCTGAAAAAATATCAAGCTATTAAAACATTAGCAAAACTAGAAATTGAAATTTGGAGACGTACGTATCCAAAAATACCAGCTGATGGAAGAATTCATAAAATATGTAAAACAACAGAAGACGAAGTACATTTCATAATACACTGTCAAATGTATACAAATGATTGACAGGAACTGTATGAACAATTTAACAGAATGTACAATAACTTCTTAATACAGAATTACATAGACAAATTCAAAATGATTTCAAACACGACAGTCATCTCTGCTTAGACATGTTGCTAGATACATAAACAATGCTTTTGCTAAAAGACTAGCACTAACTAGTAGTTATTAATTTTGAAAATTATACATAAATATGACATTGGTTATTTCTCAAGAAAAGACTTGCACTTCTTATTTACTATGAAATTTCCTTTAATTTGCTTTTATTTCTACATCAAATTTATTAATTTGAAATTATTCATTCTTCTGCTATATATTCTATATTATAATTGATTTGTGAAATTATCTTTGTTTTGAAATAAGAGTTTTATCAAAGATGTCACTTGTAGATTTTTTATATCATCTGTGAACGTTTGGTGGGTAGACTGAAATCAATTCCTGGTCCAATCGGGACGATACCATTACCACTTCGCCCAAAATAGCCTTTCACACAGTGATCCAAATTGGATGCCATGGCAACACCACTGTATTGATAGATATCTTTAATATACTCGCCTAAATTGTCATAATCTTGTAACATTTTTTTATTACATTTAAATCTTACTACATATACATGGTCAAAGCGAAAGAGTGTAGGAAATAGACGAATATCAGCTTCTGTCAGCTGATCCCCACAAAGGAAACGCCGGTTTGATAAGATCTTGTCTAAGCGATCCAAAGCCTGGAATACCACCTTAACAGCGACATCGTAGGCTTCCTGTGATTTGGCGAACCCAGCTTTGTAGACACCGTTATTAATTTCAGGATAAATCCAGGAATTAAAGTCATCAATTTCACCTCGTAGACTAGGGGGATATAAATTGATTGACTCCTTAGCCCACTGGTTAAATTCACTGTTGAGCATACGGATAATTTCAGCACTCTCGTTATTTACCACCTGTTTTGTCTGTTTGTCCCACAATATCGGTACGGAGCTGCAAACAAAATAACACATACTGCATTTTACTATAGGTACTAAGGAATCTTTGCATAGATATAATCATTTAACAAAAACCAAAAACAATGTTTGATATATATATATATATATATATGTATATCACTGATATATATGTATTGAATTTTGACAATGGCTGTCAATGTGTAACACCCACCTCTGTTTAAGACCAGACATTTTATAAATATCAATAATATATTTCTTTCCATTCACCGTATCCGGTGTACACCCTGGTATATCGGGGTTGAATTGCCACCCTTTGTCCTCATCTCGACGGTACCAACATACATCCATTGAGATGACGTCCTGTAAACCTTTAACCGATCTAGTAAGAACACAGCGGTGACACCAGGGACAGTTGTTAGCGATGTACAGATGATAACGATTTGCTTCAGCTTTAAAACCTGTGGAACCATCTGTTGTGATCCAATTACGAGCAGCGCCAACGCCCCGAACATATTCACCTCTGGCTCGACGAGCATCTTTGTCTGTCTGGTCTTCTTGGACACTAACATTGGAAGCTAGGATAAAATAAGACAAAATATATTAATGACAGATAAGTTTTGAATTTGCAAAAACTTGAAAATGGAAGCTATATTTTATCCCTAATTGTAGCCACCTGAAATATTTGATCAAAGGTCAAAGCTAATAGTGTGTTAATGAGTATAATTAGCCCAGATATGATTTTTGAAAATTAACCGTTACTAATGCATCATAAATAATTTTAGAAATTTATTACGAGTCTTTGAGCGTTGCATACAAACATTTGAAACTATCGTGTTCAAAGTTAGTAGTGATGATAGTACCACTCAATTCGCGTAGTTTCGCTTGAAGCCACGACCATCCATTATCATTAGAAAAAGTTGTACCGGTAATTGACGACAGTTAACTTGAATGATTTAAGTGGGTTTGCCAAGACGCTGGATCAGCTAATAGATAGATTAATTTAACTAATAGATTGTGTCGTCTTATAACATGTCATATTAGCTTAACTGTTTCTCAACGCATCACAAGACTAGACTTTGTGTTTGATTTCCCATAGAAATGCATCACAACACTAGACTTTGTGTTTGGTTGCCCATAGAAACGTATCTTAACACTAGACTTTGTGTTTGGCTTCCCATAAAAATGCATCACAACACTGACTTTGTGTTTGGTTTCCCATAGAAACGCATCACAACACTAGACTTTGTGTTTGGTTTACAATATAAATGCATCACAACACTAGACTTTGTGTTTGGTTTCCCATAGAAACGCATCACAACACTAGACTTTGTGTTTGGTTTCCCATAGAAACGCATCACAACACTAGACTTTGTGTTTGGTTTACAATATAAATGCATCACAACACTAGACTTTGTGTTTGGTTTCCCATAGAAACGCATCACAACACTAGACTTTGTGTTTGGTTTACAATATAAATGCATCACAACACTAGACTTTGTGTTTGGTTTCCCATAGAAATGCATCACTACACTAGACTTTGTGTTTGGTTTCCCATAGAAACGCATCACAACACTGGACTTTGTGTTTGGTTACCCATA